GGAAGTGAGCGAAGAGAAAAATACATATCTGAAAGATAAAGATTAACGTAGATGTGAGAGCTTGGCGTGCCGTCTAAAACATACATGAGTAGGACATGTTGTCCTGCCCATCCATTGACTTTGGTGCTCTCTGGTGTCAGTGTTGCTTTGCTCAGATACTGAACTGATATCAGTGGATGAATGATTTCAGAGCTCAAGAGCATGTTGAACTCTTCAGTCTATTTGCTGTTCAAGTTCGAGGCATGTTTAAGATGTTAGAGCTCAAGTATCATATGAGTAGAGATTAAGATGATGTAGCATTGTTTGGCATTCGTTGCAATCAAACAAAAACAGCTGGAATTCACTTGCCATTTTTTAGGATTACAGCAAATATTGTGCAGTTTTAGAGTTGGAATACTGCACTGATCAAAATTAGAATGTCTATCTCTCTCTCTCTCTCTCTCTCTATATATATATATATCTATATCGCTCTGTCTGTCTATCTATCTCTTATCAAAAACATTAATGGCATAAATAAAAACACTTACACTGACAAGCTACGCAATATCGTGTTCATAATCGAATGTGACTCATCTGCGATTATGAACGCGATATAGCAGTGATCTATGGCTCTGTGTATTAAATGCCGCTCCATCTGAAAGCACGTGATGGAGATTTACTATTAATCACAGAACTGGCTTTACTGACGAGATGCGCACGACAATCACATGCGATTTATCCTGCAGCCCTAAATTTGTTTGTTGACAAAATAGTACACAAAGTACAAAATAGATGAGGAAAACTAGGATGCCGGGTGTATTCAAAGCGCCGCCATTACTGTTTAGAGTGTGTGCGTGGAGTGGTGCGCTGTGATTGGTTGTTACGGTTTACGGTTGAGCGGATATATCACATTCTGCAGAAAAGGGAGACTGGCATTTGTCGCAGTTTGGAAAAAAAGGGAGAAAACATGACAGAATAACTCGGCAGGTATTAATTAAAAAATAATAAAAAATTGACTTTTCAATACTGACCAGATACAATACTGATTTTGGCAGACACTAAATTTTTTTTTTTAAATGGCCTTTATCGCGTTTTGGATACAAACTCTTCACGATATATATATATATATAATTGTAATGTATTTATATGCAAGATATTTTTATGTTTTATACATACATGATTGATTAACAGAAGTATTCCCATTTGTTGTTTTTTATTTTTCCTTTGAATGTTCACCAAAAACAATATCTATCTATGATATTTATCTATCTATGATATTGTGTTGGGTAAATTGTTTAAAGTGTGCAATTTCAGCTATTTTCATTGTCAGCAATTTAAAATCTTACTGTTATTAAAGGGATTTAGCAATTTTTCTAACCTCTTCCCAAAACACTGGCATGTCAAATCTGATGCCAGCAGTCCAAAATACACAAAATGATAGACAAGCAGAGTTTCTGATTGGCTAAATATGCTCTGTGCGGCTACTGAAAACCCCTATCGGTCAACCACCTTAGTTTGAGGCATTTTAACTTTTAACATTTTAGCATCAGCATTGTCCAATGCATCTGAATGCCATTCTTGAACTAATTTAAATTCACCAAGAGCATTTAAGAGCACACCAAGGCAGTAAAGTTTAATATTCAGTGAGTCCTTCCTTACCTTTTTGCGTTGTATCAAAGTAATTATAGGAACATTTCTGTTCTAAGCACAAATGTTTTCAGTTTATTTGTACATTTATTTTCTCTTTTTCATAAATTTTTTTATTTTTATTTTAAATTTTTTAAATGCTTTTCATGTTGAGGTCAAAGCAGTGCATGAGTCATGTGAAAGGCCTTGAGAGAGATTGGAAGAGAGCTTCATATAACGGAGACAGCAGGACTGTATTATTCATGAAACCCATATCATTCACTCAGAAGCAGAGAAACATCATGAGAAATGCAAGTTCATCCCTTCTTCCATCTCAATCACTCTAAATCCATCTCATTACATCTCTCTTTTCCCCTCCCTTTAAAATCAAATTTTCAGTTGACATGTAAATTATGTTCAACATTTGACAGTTTAAAGATTACATGCATAATACTAATCCTCCTCAGACTGTTATAAAATCTGCAGCATCTGCAAAACCCTTTGAGGCTCTTTTTGAAAACCTAGTGCTACAATGTTATAAGATATTATTAAATATTAGAAAATATTAAATCGTAAATGTCTACACACACAAATATATATCATAAACGTATGTGTCCTTATACAGATTTTTCAGTAAAAGTTGTTGTATTGCAATATGGAGTTACCAACTTCGTCAAGCGTAAACATGATGCAGCAGTTTGGCCAAAAGAAGTTCTTAAAGCAAGATATTTGTACGGTGGCCGAGAGAGCTCAACGCGCTGTGTTTCTTCATTTGCATGTGTTGTGAGGATTTGCAGCTCGTTTCTTCATTTGCATGTGTTGTGAGGATTTGCAGCGCGTTTCTTCATTTGCATGTGTTGTGAGGATTTGCAGCGCGTTTCTTCATTTGCATGTGTTGTGAGGATTTGCAGCGCGTTTCTTCATTTGCATGTGTTGTGAGGATTTGCAGCGCGTGTGTTGTCAAACTGATGAAGATGTTTTCTTAATTTGCTGGTGTTTTTTTCAATTTGCATGTGTTTTCTTAAGTTGCAGCGCGTTGAGCTCTCTCGGCCACCGTATATTTGCCTTTTTGAACAACCTTTCTTAAAATGCTACTTATGTAGGCATTTCTGTAGGTTTTGGAACAAGTCTATGTCTGTTTAATAAGCATAAACTGCTGATCCACAGCCTTTCTCTTTTTTATTTTTATTTTATTTATTTAGTTGACAGAGACATTGTACATTAATAAAACATTCCTGTAAATGTAGTCCCTGGACAAGATGTTACAAGTCACCCTAAAAGAAAATTTAATTAAAAATGCATACTAGAAAATTTAATAATTACATAGTACAAATCATACAGTAGTCTATTAAAAACAATATGATCAAATAAAGACAATGCAAACAAGATACAAACAATAATAAGATAGCTAGCAAATATAAAAGTCTAATGCATCTGAGTGCAGAAAGACCCTCCGCGGGGCCTGTCAGAGCACCACACGTCTGTTCTTAAATCTGATTCTTCGCCATGTAATTTCATAAAGGCTGTGGGTTGGTGCTTTTCTCCAGGATTTATCAGCATTTGGTGTATTATCTCGGTCAGTCAATGACAGTGACTTAAAGTACTACATGGACAGTGTTTTTTTTCTAAACAATGTTTAAATTACAATGATTAATATGAGTGTTATTTATCAGTTTTTTTTATCAGATCTTGTTTGCATGTGAATTATGTGCATTTTGTATTATTAAATATTATATTATAATTGATTTACTTTATTTTATCAATTTTATTTTCAATAAATAATTATAAAATTATTTTAGAATTATATATTTATATTTTATTTTTTATTTTAATTATATTACAATTATATTTTTATTCATTTCATAATGTCGATCTAGTAAAATTTATATTTATATGTATATACTTTCATATTTTTAATTCTGTCATTTATTTATTTATTTGTATTTTACATTGGCTGGATGCAATCACTACTTGCCACAAATTGGTATTCTGCCCAGAAAGTTGGCAGTAAGGTTTAAAACCCATAATGAAGGTCCACCAGGCAGCAAACACAACAGGACATTTAGCTGTACTTTCAATATTAAATGAAGGTCAAAAATAAATGAAAAGCTGATTGCAATGACTGTGTAACAGAAGAGACATACTGTATGTTTAAGAGGCAATCCCCAGTAGCATAAACTGGCTTTTTTCCAGAGAGTCGAGTCCCTGTGCTAATTTATGACCATATGTTCTCACCTAAGTTCTCCAGGGGCGAAGGAACAACTGGTGAGGTGTGGGTGGGATTCGTGAATTTGCAATGGTTGTTGCATCTCTAATCTCATTTAAGACTTGCAAGACATTATTTGGGCTATACAGTAGTTTAAAGTATGGGAAAAAATGTACATTCCGATTATTGCTGCAATATAGTCTCTTAATTGTTGTTACATCTGATTGTTTCATTCTGATGGCTTTTCTTTGGAAACTAGATTTTCTAAATTGGAAAATCCTGTGATTTAAAGATTTAATTTAAGCATTATTACTGATCTACTTCTATCAGAATCGGTACAGATGTGTTTCCAGCTAATCTTGTGCATTACATTTCAGTTGTACACTCTTAAAATAAAGGTGTTTTCGAAGCAGTGCCATAGAAGTTCCCCGATTAACTTTTCAGTGAATGGTTTTTTAAAGGACTTTTTTTTTCCCTTCATGTGAAGAACATTTTAATATTCTAAAGAACTTTTTCCACCATAAAGAACCTTTGGTACAATGGAAGGGTGCTGTGGATATTAAATGTTCTTCATTGAACCATAAATGCCAATAGAGAACCTTTATGTTTAAGAGTGTATTAATAGAAAACAGCCTGTGCTTGGGAACTGATTCTTGATTTGGATATGGAGCACAGTATTTTTAGTTATGTCGGTAAACTTCTCTCACCAAGGAGCTTGTACCATTGCAGATACTATGGTGGCATTGCTTGGCCCTGTCCGAGGGATAATCACAGAGTTAGACGTCAGGGTTAATCCGCTTACGAGAAGGCAGGAGCTATTCGAGCCACTTCTTACTCTCCACTCTGGCATGGGGTTCACCTGTGGTCTTCACCTGAAGCAGAGGTAAGACGTATCATTTTCAGGTGAGGAGCATTAAATCTGGAAATCGCTTAATCGGGACGAGCGAGCATTTGGTTGAAGATTTAAGATTTGTTAATCTGAAGATCAGAGGTCTTTTGGTTGGAGTTTGGCCCTCTCTGCAGACTCACCTGCTTGTATGTGACCTCTGACCGCTGGGTCAAAGGGCATTCTGGGAGATCAGTGATCATCATTTAGCCTGGATATTGAGTCTAGTGTGGAGAAGACAAATTCCTAAAGCATTTTTGTCTAGTTTTGAGGACTAATTGAGAATTCTGAGGTCCCGCCGCCATGCCTTCCCTTCCCACTCTGAACAGCCTGGGGAAACTCTGCGGATCTGGACGCAGTCAGCAAGTGGATCGCACCCGGATCAAACGCACAAACTCCGTCAAACGTATATCTGTCATAGAGGACGGACGTGTGGCAGAAGTGCTGTACCTCGTCCCTAAAGAGTCTGTGATGCAACAGCTGCCGTTCATCAACCCTGAAGACTATTACCTGACTGAGAGCCTATCACCTGGTATGAACAGTTATGGAATAGCTGAATGTAATTTAAATTTGTTTTGCACCAGAAATCAGTCAAATTTAGTCCAATGATCAACTGCACAATGGTAATTGTCCAGTTTAATGGTACATTTATAAGAAACTTAGTGTGTCCTAGTTATGTTGCGTCTTTGCCTCCAACATGATTTCATTAGTATTCATATATTTGCATGTAAAGTGTATTTCTAGCACAAATACATTGGTATGCACACATTAATCTTTTTATCTTATTAGCGTAGGGGTGAGCGATATGACCAAAATCTTATATCACAATATAATTCTTTTTGCTTTAAGTTCTTTATGATATAAAATGTTTTGTTACCATACAAATTTCATAATTCTTGTCACCAGTGTCAATATCACAAACAACTAACTAGCCTAAATAAAAAAAATTTAATTAAAAAAAAACTCAAGCTCACTGAAGACAAGTAAACTGTCAGCGAATAAATAAGTATAAGAAACTAATTACAAGCAATAGGACAAACAAATACAATAGAACAAACAAATAAGAAATGCATACATTGTATAATGAATAAAAACGCTGCATATTCTTCACTTTGTAAATCAAATATATATTTATTATTAAAGTTACAAAAGTGATTTTGTCAAGAGCAGTGAGAGATTTTCTCTCTTTGGTTGTTTGATTAACATGAATGACTATTAGAAGGAATATTAGACTGCTGTCACTTTAAGAACTGCCCAGATCCAAAATACTGTTACACACATGTGTTTTTTTCTCAGTTGTTTCCTTTCACATGAGACCTAAGTTACTGTATTTACAAGGATACTTGTAAAAACGGGCATTTTGACATATACAAGTGTGTACTTAATCGTTCAAAGCCTATATAGCGGCAAAAATAAATCTGTTTAAAGTGCCCCTATTATGCCATTTTTACAGTTCCTAATATTGTTTTGGGAGTCTCCTAAAATAGGATTACATGCATGCAAGGTCAAAAAACGCTTTAATTTTCTCAAAATATGCATTTAATATCACCTCATTTTCCAGCGATTCTCAAACAATTCGTTCGAAGCAGTTCAAAGATTCAGTCTCTCTAAACCCCTCCTTTCCGTGAGCCTGCACTGCTCTGATTAGTCAGATGGCCTAGTCTGTTGTGATTGGTCTACGGCGTACAGTGCGTGTCAGAAACGATACACCTATTTCAACAGTTCTGTATTTTGAACGCTCTATAGAAAGTATAAACATTTATTATTTATCATACTTACAGGTTGTGATTCAGTGGAGCAGCTGGTCCAAATAAACAGGATACTGATCCATCTTTCCGCGTTGAACTCCCCGAGATTAGAGAAGCAGTCGTCAGTAGAATGATGTGTTTGTGGACGGGGTCAAGTTGTAGAACAACATGTAGAACATAACATTCACATACAGCTACATTGCACACTGCATGAAAGGCAATATTGGAAATGGCATAACAGGGGCACTTTAATATGTGCTCTGAATATTCTGAAATGAGTTTTCTTTCACTGCTGATTGCATTTCAACAGCATAAAATCACTTGTTATAAAACCGCAATAAGTTTTCGTGACCACATACAGCAACATCACGAGTAACCGCAATAGAGAAGATAGTCAAAAATCTCTACATATATATATATATATATATAAAGAGGGCCACCAACTTTTACAATTTCTGTCTGGATTTTCTCATAAAAAGGTCTTGACTCTGACAGAATTGTAAAAGTTGTGCAAATGTGAAAGGCTATACATTTTGGATACTGTCAATACAATACATACGGACATTGTATTTGTCAGTGTCTTTCCGAATGTTCAAAAATGGACAATGAACAAATTGCATATGCATACAAATAAGATCATCCTGTCCAAACAGATGTTTAATGGCTGCTCAACCCTTTTTCCGTTCAGTAGAAATGCTTCACTTATGTTAGTGGTGCACTGTGCTTTGAGTTTCAACTGGTTTTAGTGTGCTAAAGCAGATTATGAAAGTGAATGTCTCGATTGCTAAAAAGGGATTGCATGCTGTTAATGGGATGAAAGTAATTAATTATGCTAATCAAGAGGTAGTTCCCATCTTTAATGCCAGGAAACATCTTGACGCATACAACTTTTCTGGGTGTGTGTATGAAGGGGAAAGAGCATTATGCAATGTATTAATCACTATTCACGGATGTCAAAAATGATGGTTACTGCTGTTGAAAATGAGTTTAAGTTTTATGTAACTGTAAACTTCTTCAAGCATGCTTGAGGCAACCAAAAAGGCTTTAATATTACAAGAGAACCATCAGTCAAATCCAGCATGTCAGATTTCCTCAGTCTTTGGATTTATTGGGATTTGCTGTTGTTTTGGTAAAGATTTACACATACTGATCAGTGGCCTGTGGAAACAGAACTTAATTTTGATTTTCTTAAGGAAGAAATGTTTACTTATTCTGCTGTTCAAACTTTGGGGGTCCATACAATTTTTTATGTTTATTTTTATTATTAAAAAAAAGAATACTGTTATTCAGCAGGGATGCATTAAATTGGTCAAAAGTAGCAGTAATGACATTTATAATGGTGCAAAAAAAATTATATTTTAAATAAATACAGTTCTTTAGATTTTTAATTCAGCAGAGAATCCTGAATAAAAGTCAAAGTAAAAACATGTATCCGTTTCCACAAGACTGGAGTAGTGATGCTGAAAATACAGCTTTGCATCAGGAATAAATTACATTTTATTATCAAATATATTCTAACAGAAAACCATCACTTCATATGGTAATAATACAACTGTAAATATTACAGTTTTACTGTATTTTTGATCAAATAAATGCAGCTTTGAAAAGCATAAAACTTCTTTCAAAAACATTGTTTGGGGTCTTACCGACCCCAAACATTTGAACTGTCTGTTCCCACTGTCATTGTGTTTCTTGTAGATAATGGAGACAATGAAACAACAACAGTCGCTTAGTTAAACCTACATTTCTTTTTTTTTACATTTTAAGTCAAGTTAAAAGTAGTCGAAAAGCATCAATTGCGACCTTTCTTTCATTGCATTGCACTCATCCTGTGCAAAAGGCCTGTAACTACATATTTGTCGATTTATTTTCAAATTGCATTTTCCTCAGCCTTGCTTTCCAGAATCTACTGTATAGATCTGTTTGGCCCAATGAGAGGAGTGTGCTTCCTGACATACAGTGGAGAACTAAGAGCTTTTACAGGGTCATCTGAGAAGGGCAGAGACACACTGTAAGTGTGGAGTCTTGCAGCGGTGTTGTTAATGGGATGACAAATCAATGAAAATGCTCTTATGTAAATAACAGTGAGCCATAATTATTTAATAGCGCAGTGCTTTTGCATAGTCATTTGAACAAATTGCTGTGAGTTTGATGCATGTGAAACAATTGTAGATCTAAATTGGATGCAGAACTGCATGTTGTCTTGTTAGTGTACCAAAACAAATGTTTCCAAATTTTTTCACGAGAAATAATGTGTTGGCTGTGCACTAAACCAGTCTATGATGAGGTAAAATATGTTTTTAATTACAGAAAGGCGTCCATTGATGCTTAATGCGAGTGTTCTGAGGTCAAGCAGCCTTCTCAGGTTGATGATCCTCAAGTTCCCTCTGATCTAGTCTCACCAACAGATCACCTATTCGCTCACCACATGATGCAAATCGCACAGAAAAAGCTGTCTGAAATCTCCAGATTCATTCTGATTGCCTTTGGGGATGTACTGGTAAACCTGGAAGATAAGCTGTGTTTACATTGAATACGCACTTTTGAAGAAGAAATAATGATTACATTTGCTAAACATTTTCCAGGGTAGTGATGTTAAATCTTTGACTTTATTGTTTTTTGGCACTTACAAGCAAGTTCACAATCAGAAAAGTGCATTCTGCTTTGCTTTTGGTTTATGCTTGTGAAATCATCGTATTCATTTTAACAAACAAAAATTATTAACCCTAGAGTCTACAGACTACAATATGTACAATTTATATGTTACTTGCAGAATGTTTTGTTTCATCATGAGTTGTTTCTGCTAATGTAGAGCGTCACTCAGACAGCTGTTGTACTGTGATGAGGCTAATAGGATCACAGGGATATTCATGGTGGATTAAATCCAGATCATGTCATGTCTGCTCTCATAATCCAGACAAGCCTGTGTGATCTGTAAGGATTCGTCAGGTGAAGACGGCACGGCCGGTCTGTCTCCGCACAGTCGCTGACTTGGCTGTTTAGTTATTCTGACTGCATATGTTGGGCAAATGATTTTTGAAGTGAAGAATATTTGTATTTGTATTTTTTTTATGTATTTTAATATTTTTATTTCAATTTTCAAATATTTATTTAGTGCTATTTATATATTTTATTTCTATTGATATATTTTAGGCCTGTTCTGTGCTTTAGATGTTTATTTTATTTTATTTGCTTTTCATAGAGTTTAGGGCTGTTTTTGTGGTTTATCTTATATATCAGTCAGGGTATGACATTTTGTGTGTAGTAGTTTAGAAAAAAGTACATTTAACATTTAAAAATGAACATTTAAAGGTGACGAGTGTAATTTTATTCAGTTATATATTTTATTTTATTGTGTGTGTGTGCGACGTTTTCCTCTTTTATTCATCCTTATTCGATTTTTTTGCGCTGCTATTTGGATGCTGCACTCCACCTCTGCTGATTATTGATTCATCTGCACTTATCACTGATGGTCATGGTCAAGAAGAAAGGTAATTGAGTGTGTGTGTTTTGGCGAGAGTTACTGACCATCTTTAAATCTCAATGTGGTCACAATGCACACTTTTAAGAGTAAATAGTCACTTCTATACATTTTAAGAGGTTTATCAGTATTGAATATTGAGGATCACATGCTGTTCTTCATCTGCAGAGAAGCTGGATTGATCCCACCTCTTATTTAAGGTGATTGTGATGCTGTATTGGCTCAACACATGTTGATGATCTTAGTTTATGTCCAGGTTGCACCGTGTGCTATCTGAATCACAGGAACTGTTATATAAGAGAA